CAATGAAATCACCCAGCTCTCGCTATCCGGCTATGGGCGATTCCAATGTGTACACCGCGGATCATCTGATCCCACTCTATTCCGGATTGTACGCTTTGCAGTTCACCTTACACGGTGGAAAACTGGCCCATAGTGGTGCCGTGGCCACACACTTTCACGAATTGCTTCGTCGAGGTCCACACACCCATCCGATCTCCCACGGACGACCGGTCGAGGTTCGGAATCGTTCAGAACCGGACGGATCAACGGTGACAGATCCGAATACCGGTCTTCTACTTGTCTGGGTTCACATGTCGGACGGGACCAGTATTCTGTGGAATCGATTGAAAGAGGTGAGTCACGTTGAGTTCGAGGTGATCTCACAGCGTATCTAAGCTGACAGGCTGAACAGCACCAATGGCAGAAGTGACAACTGATCCTACTGAGCAAATCGTTCGAATCACACAACGTGTTGACAAGTTTGTTCGTTCCCTCTTGTCAGACCCACAGACTAATACCTCCAAATTTGGTCGATTTCGGGCTCAATGCTCTGATTGACACCGCTTAATCTTGGTTTTAGGACATGTGTTTACCTACTGGTATTACAAGAGAACCTTAAAAAGTGTCCGAAATGCACGTGTTTGCGAGAAATTTCATTGCACATGGAATATTATGCTAAAAACACACTAATTGCACGTATAAACTGCAGTACTAACCAGGAGGATGCTCAACCAGTGACCGTTATCTCGATTTATCTATCATGATCTTACCGTACCGCGGGTTTTCAATTTGAATGTATATCAAACCACATAGTCTGCCACACCGTGATCTCTGCTCTCATTCTTTCGTTTTTATTCGTAAATAGAACGTTGCATCATCACCACATGCGAGTATAGTACCCCTCCCCCCCGTTTGCGTTCCGTACCATTGCAATCGACGGGTGTTTTGCTGGCAGCCGGGCACTTATACCACAGCCATGCAATAACCATCTTGGTGTACGCCTGGACAAGCACACCACTGAGTGAAATTAAGGACGATGAGGTTCCAAAACGATCCCATCGCTGACACCGGAATACCCCTTTTGTGGCCTTTCGCTTTCACCTCAGATAGACGTGACATGGCTCAATTTGTTTATAACATTTTACTTACCTCAATGTCGAATGCTTTTGCTATCCAAACTGCAAAACTCTCAACTTTCCCCATATCAGTAGCCTGTCAAATACAGCACTATTCGTCTATGCTCAATCAGAGAAGGTATGGCCATAACAGTCCCACCGATACCAAGCCTATAATGGAGGGGGAGGCCTTATTCGACTAATCCTTGCAAATCATTCGAACTAACTCAGAACACCAGTCACCATAACAACTGACTGGAGAGGTTAGCCTGTTGTTTTTTTCGTGGCAGTAAAGTGTCTGACAAAAATAAACGCTTGAAAATATCTATGTGATGCTGTATCAGTCTGACTGTGATGGGGACAGGGTTCTAACACGAGATCTCTTGCAGTTGGATCAGTGCCCGAAACACTGATTTGAATCGTTTCATCGGTCAGTATCATCCAGATGAGAAAGAGGATAGATTGTATTTTCTCTTCTGATAACATCAAGGACTGTCGGCTTTTGATCCATACCCGGTTCCTTCCACGTATTTTATGTCACTAAAATTCAAGGTTTTAACTAAGAAACAACACATCAAGATATCGGGAGCCCTTCGTGAATCATGTAGAGAACTTGTTTTCGGTTCTGATAAATCTTCTTCTTCTCGAGTACACTGCTCTCTCGCGATAAATCAACTATCTTTAATAGAACCCGCACGATAATTTACACTGTGCTCAACTGAAGCTTGATCAATAATTCTATCCAAAGTCCCGGTAATTGGCCTGAACGAAGTATTACGGGCAGCCAACCTAATTGATTGATAGATTCAGAAAATTCTGCCAGTTCTTGTAACTAGGTCATTTATTTTATTCAAATCAGTTCGCTTAATAATTGAATACAAACTCTATTCACCTTATTGTTAGACATGGTGAATTGACACTCAATTTGCGGCATGCATCTATTTCTGGTTCTGCTGATTTTTCAATCTAAATTGAGCCCGTTGTTTTTACGAGTAGTTGTGCTTTTTCCACGCTAGTGCTAGGCTACACTGGTCATTTTATCCTTCCTCTGTTCTCGCCTGATTCTCTCCCTGTGTCTACCTGTCCTATCATACCTTGGTTTGAATATGGTCGGATACGTGTCCTCGGTTTCAGTTGATATAAATCTAACAATCTATTGATCCGTTAACCGAATCATCCATGCTCAAACCGCACATCATGCTCAGGCAACCGAACGCGGATACAGAAATTAGGCAATTCGTATTGACCAATCAGATGACTTCAGCTAGATTGAACAGGATTGTGATTAGTTAGGTGAGGCCAGACAGGGAGTGGGAAATCGGTAGCAGCTGATTGGTCAGTTCGGTAGACCAATCAGCATTACCTGATGGTGGATAGATAGATAGATGGGGGATGTCAACACACGTGCACGCGTTCAGTTCGAGGGGTATTCATTTAGCCGGTCCGAATGCAGTGGCTTTTAGATGCGCTGGTAACCAAAGTCCGACCACTGGATTGTACAACGTTGTGTTCAGATGTGGGACTGTCTAGACAAATTACCATAACCGTAATTAAATGATCTGAGACAAACGGACAAATATGGCAAATAAATTTAAAAGATCTGCGCACCAGACACGCTTAACTGACCGAATTCGGTAACCGGGATGCGATCGCTCGACTGATAACTGTTTTGCCCCGATCGAAAGCCATGGAAACTCGTCATTGGTCAGTCATTTATCAGACTCTGAACTAAAGAGCGAGGACAAAAACAAAAGACATTTCGAGTGCAATAGTATTCACCCTAAATAAATCGGTACCGCGGAGAACAATGTGTCTTCATTAACTCTATGGGAATTCAGGACATAAAGAAATGGTTTCAAAATGGGCACACGAGGAGAACAGAGAAGATAGCAACTGACTGTTCTCTCATACAGGGTTTTTAAATATCGACATATAAGACCTTTTTGGGCGATCGACGATGGAGCGTTGGTGCAGTGTGATTATCGTTAACACATTTAGGGAATGAATTCGGGTTAAGAGCATATTTCTTGCTGCTCTTCAATTATTTTGCTGAGAACCTTTGAAAAAACAGCTAATGTGAAAAAAGTTAGTATATGCTTTCTTCATTGCTCAAATGTATAACATATTTTCTGCTCGTGAATTGATGCTCAACCGAGGGGATCTGGGAGGGAATCCGTTTAGAAAAAAGCTTGTGCAGTTAGTTAACGGTGTCGCGAATTAAACACACACACACACACACACACGCGATTATGTATGTCGAGTAAAACCAGCATGAGGTTTATGCCCCAAACAGGCTGGATTTTCAGCACTTTCGACCAGTTCTCGAAACTTCCATGGAATCGAACGAACGCTCCACGCATTGATAAACCAATGAGTTTGACGTGTGAATGAGAATTGAA